GGAGGGCGGAGGCTTGCCAGTGGCTGAGAATCCGGCCACTGCACTCCAGCGCTGGGCGCAGAGCGAGACTCCGTTCTCAAAAAAAAAAAAAAAAAAAAAATAAAGAAATTAAGGTCAGGAGTCAAACCCTAAAGACAGGCTGACAGACCTCCCTGCAGGTGGCTCCTGCCCATTTTCAGGGAAGGCAGTAGCCACAGCCCCAGCTCAGCTCCCTGCAGGGAGTTGACATCAGTAGCTCTTCACCTTGAGGAGACACCTGGGCCTTCCTCCCAAAGCCCGTTTAGGAGGCAGATGGAGCGACCGGGATGATAGGAGGGTGTTCAGGGACCCTGGCTCCACAATTCCCACGGCGACGACCTTGGGGGCACTCCTAGATTTTGAGCGGCTGAGGAACCTCACCCCAGTCCTCGCCCACAGCTCACCAAAGATGAAGTTGTCCGGCCTGAAGATCTGCCCGAAGGGCCCCGAGCGCACAGAGTCCAGGGTGCCCGGCTCCAGATCCACCAGCACAGCGCGGGGCACGTACCTGCCACCTGAGAGGGGCGGGAGGGCATGAGCGAGGGGAGGGCCGCGTTCCCAGGAGGGCGGTGGGGAAGGTCGGGGGTCTCACCGCAGGCCTCGTTGTAGTACACGTCGATGCGCTCCAGCTGCAGAAGGCTGTCCCCGTGGTAGGTGCCGGTGGAGTCGATGGCGTGTTCATCAGAGATCACCTCCCAAAACTGCGAGACGGGAGGGGCCAGACAGGCCAGGGCCAGTCACAGGGGTGCCCCATCTCCTCTCCCACCCCTACCCCCATCCCTAGGCCGCCGTGTCCCTGGGGTCCACCCCGGCCGCCTCACCAGCCGCCCAGTCCCACCGCGTCCCCGGCAGGGACCCGCCCCCGTCCCCACCACTGCCAACATCTTCCCTGGCCACCTGCAGGCCTGAGCTGGGCCCTCAGAGCCCCGGCTGCCAACCTTGGCGCCGATCTGATTCCCGCACTGCCCGGCCTGCGTGAGCAGGAGCTCCCGCACGGCTAAGGCGGGATCAGGGCGGCAGGAGAAACGCGAGGAGGCAGAGCAGACGCGCAGTGAACCAGCCCGCCCTCCGCCAACGCTGAAATAGCCCCGCGCCCACCTCTCCCAGCCTCGCATTGGGCTCCCGGAATAAGCAACAGCTTTACTTGCACACAGGTGTACCCACCTGTGCATCCCTTGGCGTTGAACGTCTGTTGGGGAGCTCAGGTGTCCCTGCTGTGGTCCTTTCCACGTTGGGGAAAGCTGGTCAGCTGGAGAACTTCCTCCCACGTCTTTACTAAGACTAAATCCCTAGCTGACCCGAAACTGAATTTTCCTCCCATGTGGGAGGGGAGGACTCTAGTTTCCATACTCACAGAGTGCCTTGCACCTGCCCTAGATTGAGGACATATTTTTGTAATTGATGAGTGCTTTCCTCTATTAGGAGACCTGTGGTTAGGAAAGGCCTTCTGTATGTTAACTCGACAGGACTTCATTATAACTTTGACTTTGGAGCAGTTCAAACCCGCAGTAAGCTATGGGTGTTAGAGACAGTCAGGCCTCTGATTTAGCTAGAGTCTTCTTTAGAGTAGGACTAGCCCTTTCCCCTTTCAGAGGACCGTGGTCTCCATGCAGAGTGAAGGTAATATTGGATTCTTCAAGCTGAGGATAGGTGTTGGGATACACCTGCTGTGAAAGATGGGCCCTTGTCACTTTGCAGGTTTTTAGATGACCCAAACTGAGGAGTTATTTCTTCTGGTAAACATTTTCAGATGGGGTGGGGAATGCCTCGATCTGACCAGTGGAGGTATCAGTGAGCATTAGCAAATATTTGAATCTCCTGCAGAAAGGCATCTGAGTACATTAGAGTTGCCAGTTCTCACCTGGATGTTGGGCGGGTTTAACTGGAGAAGGGGAAAATTGCTGGCCGTTTGGGTCATGTCAGGCACAGAGCATGCAGGTGTCAGCTGATTGATTCTGTGTGGATTGTTTTCCTTGGAGTGGGGGTCTTGTCTTGGTGTCCCTTCATGGTGTTGCTGAAAGATGTTGCTGGAAAAGAGGGTCCTGATACAGACCACAAAGTAGGATTCTTAGATCTTGTGCAGGAAAAAATTTGAGGTGAGTCTGCACAATGAAAGAAGCAAGTTTATTAGAAATGACTTCATGACAGAGTTGGACATCCTCAGAAAACAAGAGCAGGAATGTACTGTCTTTTGTTAGTGTCTCTACTTGGAAGTAACTATAAAGAGAAAGAGTTATAATTAAACTTGGAAGGTGCAGATGTACTCACTAAAGTCAGGGGCTATTTGTTTTAACAATGACCGTTAACCCGTTGACCTAAGCTAGCTCATTAATATTAATCCTTACCAAAAATATGCTGCACTCCTAGGACATTTATACACTTTTCAGACTTGGTGGAAGATGTCTTGTATGGCCACAAATATTCTGCAATTGTAATTTGTGGCCAGCTAAAAAAATGTGGCTATTTTCAGACCATAAGTATTAACCTTCTAGATGCCTTGTGAGTACCTATGTATTTATTTATTATTATTTTGAGACAGAGTCTTGCTCTGTTGCCCAGGCTGGAGTGCAGTGCACCAGCTTGGCTCATTGAAACCTCCGCCTCCTGGGTTCAAGTAATTCTCCTGCCTCAGCTTCCCAGGTAGCTGCGATTACAGGCATGAATCACCACACCCAGCTAATTTTTGTGTCTTTAGTAGAGATAGGCTGGTCTCTACTAAACCCTGTTTAGTTTGGGGAAAGCTGGTCAGCTGGAGAACTTCCTCCCACGTCTTTACTAAGACTAAATCCTTAGCTGACCGGAAACTGAATTTTCCTCCCATGTGGGAGGGGAGGACTCCAGTTTCCATACTCACAAAGTGCCTTGCACCTGCCCTAGATTGATGACATATTTTTGTAATTGATGAGTGCTTTCTTCTATTAGGAGATCTGTGGTTAGGAAAGGCTGTTTGCTGGGCTGGTCTCAAACCCCTGACAACAAGCAATCTGCCCACCTTGGCTTCCCAAATTGCTAGGATTACAGGCATGAGCCACCGCTCCCAGCCACAATGAGGTTTTTAAATAATTCAAACTGATTTCCTGCTGTTGAGCAGGGAGCTGAGCAAATTCAACAGATTGTGGGCCTAAAGTAGGAGAAGACTGAGGACAAACTCTAGAACACATGTGATTAAATTAATTACAATGGAAACCAAATCAAATTTAATGAGGCTGTACCTCTTCGTTTCAAGATATTTTCCCCCATTTTGAAATGTGGTGTTATTCAGTGGAAAAGAAAAATAGTGTTTATCTCCAGAGTAAAGAACAGGGTTCCCTGCAGGGATTGATTGACTGAGAGTTATGGCTCAGGATTAAAAATCCTTTTTTCCACGAATAAACTAAAAATTATTTTCTAAGCTCCTATTGACTAAATGGACTCCTCTTCTTGGATAAGGACATTCCAAAGTTAACCTGAAAAGCCGGTTCAAGCCATGGGTCACGCATTCCTCATTATACTCTCCTCCCTTTGGTTTTAATTTTAATTTCAGTTTTTAATTTATTTTTGTGAATACATAGTTGGTGTATGTATTTATGGGGGTACATGACATACTTTGATACAGGCATGCAGTGAGTAATACATAATAAAAAATGGGGTATCCATCCCCTCAAGCATTTATAGCTTGTGTTATAAACAATCCAATTAGACTCTTTTAGGTTTTTAAAATGTAAGTTAAATTATTTTTGACTATAATCACTCTGTTGTGCTATCAAATACTGTCTTGTTCATTCTTTCTGACCATTTTATTTTACCCATTTAGCATCCCCACTATCCCCCGTTCCCTCACTGCCCTTTCTAGCCTCCGGTAACCATCCTTATACTCTCTATCTCTATGACACCAATTGTTTTGAATTTTAGCATCCACGAATAAGTGAGAACATGTGACATTTGTCTTTCTGTGCCTGATTTATTTCACTTAACGTAAAGACTTTCAGTTGCATTTATGTTATTGCAAATGGCAGACTCTCATTCTTTCTTATAGCTGAATAGTACTCCATTGGGTATATGTACCACATTTTCTCTATCAACAGTCATCTGTTGACGGACATTTAGGTTCCTTCCAAATCTTGGCTATTATAAACCCTGCTGTAGCAAGCATGAGAGTGCCAATATGTCTTTGATTTACAATATGTCTTTGAATTTATCTCTCTTAGGCATATATTGAACAGTGGGATTGCCGGACCATATAGTGGCTCTATTTTTAGTTAAATCAGGAACATCCAAACTGTCCTTAATTGTGCTCCCAACAACAATGTACAAGGGTTCCCTCCACTCCACATACTCACCAGCATTTGTTTTTGACTGACTTCTGGATAAAAGCCACCTTAACTGGGGTGAAATGATGTCTCATTTGGGGTTTGATTTGCATTTCTATGATGATCAGTGATGTGGAGCACCTTTTCATTTGCCTGTTTGACATTTGTATGTCTTCTTTTCATAAATGTCTATTTCAATTATTTGTCCACTCTTTAATTGGATTATTACATTTTTTCTACAGAAGTTTTTGAACTCAATA